CATCAGTACCAGCAGTATGTAGAATCAGCTCTTTAAATGTGAATTTACTATTTGTTTTATGAGGTTGATGCCAGTTTCATATTTCAAAGTTAATTATAAATTGAAATAATTATTATTCTCGTTGATTCTGGAGGTCGGCCAAGGACTCTCAGCGCACCATCCGGAAAATCCTGCCTCGTGTGCCTCAAAACCTTCGCCACCAAAGCCAACGTGCGGCGTCACCTCGACGAGGTGCACCGCGGTCTGCAGCGGAATCCCAACACACCCAGCGTCCCCCCACGGCCCGCCCAGCCCAACACACTGGAGGCCACGCCTCCCCGGAAGAGCAACAATTCCTCTCCAACACGTAGCCACAACTCCAAGTCCACGCCTGTGAACACCAAAACAGCGTCCTCAAACCAAAACCAAGCCAAACCTCAGACTCAGCCCCCGGCCACTACGCAGGCAAACCCGGTGTCATGTCGCTGCACGCTCTGCAAGAGGATGTACAGCTCTCAGGTTGGTTGGTTGCACGAGGAGATTGTGGATCTCTTGTAGCCTTTGCTGTGTTTAAATCAGGCCTTAGTAGCAATTAAAGGTTCTTATTTATGTTTCTGCATTTAATCTTACATGGGTTGTTTTTAGCTTTGAGAATCAACAAAATGTCTGGAAAATGTACAACCAGCGAGTGGAAGTGTTGATGTTTCTGACATGCAGAGGACGCAAAACTGAAAAGTTAAGAATAGAAAAATATCAGGAGGAAAAAAACTAGAATATTCGCAGACATTTTCCATGTCCGTGTAATTTCACATGACATTTTAACTGACCTATGATTTTGTTTTTGTATTTCAGCTCATGTTGAAGAGACACATGCGCATTGTCCACAAAATATACAGTGTGAAAAGTAACAGGTCGGCTGCCTCAGCACCCCCTGCTACTACAGCAGCGACTCCAACCAACAACAACACCAGCAGCAGCAACAACAACAACAACAACAACAACAACAGCAGCAGCACAAACGTAGCCTCAAGCAACAATGTCCGGGTGAAGGAGGAAGCAGTCGAGCCCTCAGATGACGAGGAGGAGGAGGAGGAGGAGGAGGAAGAGGAGGTTGACAGTAGTCCTGCCCCGTCTCCGAGTGACAGCACTGGTACAGCTAAAAGTGTTTCTGTGGCACCCAACTCCACGAAGGTGAAAGAGGAGGAAGCCCCACTGAGCCCAAAGACGATGCCATCGTCCTTATCTTCATCGTCATCCTCCCGTACCGGCAGCGGCGTGTGCGTCGGCAACAAAATGACCAAACTGTCAGTGGGCTTTGACTTCAAGCAGCTCTTCTGCAAACTGTGCAAGCGACAGTTCAGCTCGCGTCAGAACTTAACAAAGCACATCGAGCTGCACACCGACGGCAACGAGATCTTCATCAAGTTTTACCGTTGCCCCCTCTGTCGCTACGAATCACGCCGCAAACGGGACGTCCTGCGCCACGTGACTGTAGTCCACAAGAAGTCGTCCTCATACCTCGGCAAGATCATGCCCAAACTGGAGAGCAGGGCGGTGAAGAGGCTGGCCGAGGCCGTCCTCAACAGCTCGAGCCCCAACAAAAGGACAAGCAGCAGCGTCAAAGAGGAAGTGAACGGACGCCACGCCTCTTCGTCGTCCTCCTCTCCTTCACCCCCAGTAACACGCAAGCAAGAGTGTTCCACAGCTGCTCCGGCCTCCTCTTCGTCCTCCTTGTCCTCCTCCTCTTCGTCCTCGGCCCCACCTCCTGCGCCCGCCACTCGGAAACAGCAGGATCTCTCATCGCCCCCTATCTCCTCGCCCTCCCCTCCTGTCACCCGTAAGCAGGAGAGACAGCAGACTCACCAGCCTCGCCCCATCAGCCCGCCGCTCACCCGCCGCAGTGAAAAACACACACACCTGCGCAACTCCACCTCCTCCACCACCGCCTCGCCCAGCAACCAACCGCCAAACACCCGACGGCACGAGGCACAGTCGGAGAGCAGCAGCACAGGGACGTCCTCCACTGAGGTCAGGGTGACCAAGAACTTCTCGCTCCACGCTTGTGACCAGTGTGGACGAGCTTTCGCCAAGAAGGTATTTGATTTTCATTCTCACATGCATCGAGATCTAGAGTGGAAATAATTTACTGTGTTGAGTCTGAGGTGTCAGTGAGGTGCATGAAGTAATCATCACATATGTGTTGCTTTTAACCAGCCGTGAATTTCTCTGGACTGTCTTTCACTTTCATTGATTAGGCTGAAATATCACTTTCTAATTTATCTTGTGTGTGTGAATCATTTCTTCTCAGCTGTACCTGGAGTCTCACAAGCGGAGCCATCGCAACGCAGTGACGACAGCAGCCAGCAAGAGGAAAGGAGTCAGCACTCGCTCCAAGTCACTGGTCTGGTGAAACACACAGTGTAAGAACAACAAGGGTTTGCCTGCCGTACGAGCCATCGCCATGTCTTCATTTGTCCTCTTCGATTTGCTCCTTTTTTCTTTTTGTCCTGTTTTGTATTTTGTCCTGCGCCCTTTAGTAATCAAAATCCCAAAAGAAATGTGGGTCTCTGTGTCTTTGTTGCAAGAGTTGTGTGCTTGTTTGTAGAAAACCTTCAATTCACTGCTCAGCTGGCACTCAACATTATTTCTTTTGTCTATCACTAACAAGAGAAATCCTCCATCTCTGTTTCCGACTGTTTCTCTTCTTTCTCTTCATCATTTCTTGATACCTCTTCCTTCCCTCTCTCACCTCAACACCTTCTGCATTCTCCTCTTTCTTTTCTTTTCCTGATTCCTCATCTTGTTCTCTCTCTCTCTCCTCACAGTCCGCTTGTGGAAAAAGGACGGGCGAGCCACTAACGATGTAGAAGACATTCAAGACTTTGAGTTTGAAAAACAATGGATGAGTGGAAGTAGCAGAGATGCAGAAAACGACAGAGCAGGACAAGAGTGAAGTACAAAGGATTTTTCCTTCTTTTGCCTAAGAACCAAATATATTGATGGACTATGACGTAACTTTTGTATATTTTCACGATGAAGCCCGTCAGCTCGCTGGACGGTGGCGCTGCTATCCTCGAGTAGACTGCTCACTACTACTGCACACGTCTGTGTTTACTTACCGCAGTACGTAAATATGGATCCATGTGCAGACGACTGACTTGTACTGCTGTGCTCTCCGTAAACAGAAGGATGAAGGTGTAGTTATGTGTGTGTGAGTGAGTGTGTGTGTGTGAGAGTGAGTGTGTGTTAGAGGGGGTGAATAATAACTGGAGCCACAGGAAGGAGAAAGGAAAACTTTTTCTTTTGGAACATTTTTCTTCAGAAGAAAGCAGACTTTCATTTGGCCTTCACTTACACAGAGTGACATATTTCACTATTAACATTTCATATCAGTTCGTCTTAATTTTTTCTGAACATTCACGTTGACTGAGGCATCAATTTGTTCCGCTTGCTCAGTATTACGACAAATCAACGGAGAATACACTTTCAACTTCCCGCTAATTATCCGTCCCCCTCTTCCCCCCCGTATGTCTAGCTGCGTGCCTTAGAGTTGAACGTCACCTTAACCTTCTCACATAAAGATTTCCTCCCTCATCTTTGTTGGATTAGTAATCCTAGCAGCCCGTAGTGTTATTTAGTGACCAGTTGTAGCAGGATCTATCGCCCAGGTCTTATATTAGTTTATCAAATGTCTATTAGTTACAGGGTTTGGTCAAAATGAGGAAGAATCCAAACTATATTTGCAGTTTACCCCAAAAATGATGTGTGCACTTTTCTGAATTTTCTTTGGTCACTGGTGTTTTCTTACATTTCCTTTATTTTGTCTTCCCTTTTTAGACTCCTTGCATGTTTGTGGAGGGCGTTTCCTTTACTTTGACCACACCCTGTTTTACCTCTGTACATTAGCAGTGTTATCAGGCTCAGAAATAGTCTGGCTATAGGAGAAGCATCGGTCACAGTCGAACTGGCTGTTTATGAATTTTCTTTCCGATATCATTTATTTTAGAATGAAACTGATCAGTTGAACTGTTAACTCTGAAGTTTGCTATAACACGACTAACATGTTACTGTGTGAGATGCTCTGCACATATTTGAGGGGTAATGTGTGTTTGAATCATAGTTTGTAAAGATGGACGACATCACAGCTCCTCAAAAGTGGCTAACTGCGGTATAGGTTATAAATACTGCTGCCTTAAGGTAGTTTCTATCATTTTCTTATCACACTGATGTATTTCCAACTGATCATTTTGATTTTAGTTTTTTGATGCGATAAAACGTGTTGGAACTTATTGATTGACAGCGCAGACTTTTAGCTGAATTTGTTGTCGTACAACAGGACGAAGTGGAGACACGTCGTCCATCTTTATTTACAGTCTTTGCTTTGAACATATACTTTTGCAGACAAACTACTTTTGACTTTAGAAACAATTTTCTGTTTTCTGAAAGGTTACGATGAACAGGAAATAATATGAATTGTGCCGTGTTTGGCCGATCAGAGCTGAAACCAAAACAGACGTGGCTCTCTCTTTCCGGCAGCAGCAGCAGCAGCGGCTGTAGCAGGTCTGAATTGACAGGGTATCCTTTTGTTGATGCTGAAATTGATCATAGATTACCCAAATATCAAAAATGTTAAAGCGAGGGGCCTGTTTAAACATACTCTGTGTCTTTCTTTGTCTCAACTTTTTAACTTCACCAATATAATCTCCATTTTAAAAAAAAATGTTTTACATGGACTAAATACTGCATCAATTCCTTTCAGAATGAGCTTTCATGTCCTAGAGCTGAAGCGGGGGCTGCGTGTGTTTGATCGCAGCTCCTGAGGTAGTCTTTGAAAAAACACTGGCACACGGAGAGAGTAAGAAAGACCAAATGTAGATATGTCTTAATGTTCAAACAGAAAGCCATGAAATGGAACAAAACCAGAAAAAAAGGAAAGACCAAACTTTATTTTTGTAACTAAAAAACACGACAGTCTTGAAAACGTGTATATATGGATTCATCGTACACGAGTGGTATAAACAATAGTTCTAATAGTCACAATAGTTACTGACATGTACTTAACTGTTGGTTGACCTTATGCTACAAACATGTCCGACTAGTTTCTACGTCACGTTGTAATACTGAGGCAAGTTTTGCGTTGTTCCACGATTAGTTGTCTTTTTTTGTTTTGTATCTCATTCCCTTTTCGGACGAGGACATTTTTGTTGGGATGGAATCAAAACCTCAAAGAGACTCTTAGGACGTTTATTTTTCCAATTTTTCCTTTTATTTCGTCAACAGTCGTTCTATGTTATTAAGGTCACAGTCTAGAGAACCTGAGAAGAGTTAGAGAAGCATTTCAGATGTGACGAGAATGTTAAAAACCAACCACTTAATGAATAAAAATGTACTGCTTCAAACCTCAGAGACTTTTCTGTTGTGTTTCTTTTTTTTTCTTGTCCTGCGATACAGCTCCTCCATCAGTCATGATTGTTTTCTGTAGTTTTCAGACAGGAGATTTCATTCGCCTTCACAGAAATTGCTTCTTTGGACATTTACATTTTCACTTATTTGTTTTTGGGGAGATTTCTATTTTGCTTTCCCCGCATTATTTCCTGAGCTGCGACACGTCATCGCCTCAGACGTCTCTAAGGATGATGAAGATTGATGACTGTGACCTGTGAATATAAACACGCTGGTAAGGTGTGAACTCAGAAACAGGTTTAAACTACATGTTTGTATGTTTGATCTGTGGTTCAAAGAATGATGATGCTGAAATCTGTATTCACAACACAGGAAGGCTCTGACAAGAGGATGGTTGCATCCTGGGAAATGTAGGCTCTAGTGTTTTGGGGGCCCAGCCACATGAACGCCAAAGTGGAACTGTGTGCAATGCCATGTGTTTGCTACCTCACAGGAAGCAAATATTTTATTCACCTCGCAAAGGCGTGACTGTGCCCCAGAGGTCAGGATCTGTTGGCCTCTGCTCGTCCGTCCTTCTCACCTGAACTTTTACTCTGGGCTGGCTGGAGAAACTCCGGAGAAAGTATCGAGTATTTGAGTTCTTACATACGGCCCATGCTGAGAATGTTCAGAGATTATCCGGAGTTCAGTTTACGTCTAAAAGCAGCTTATAATACACGATTACTGTTTCTGGAAAGACTAAAGAGCAGTGCACGTTTCTGTTACGTGTTTCACGTTAAACTGTAAAAATGAGTATAAAGCACCAGGAAATAGAGGAATACTGTAGGTAAGTACATTAAAACTCTACTAATCGTCCTACATTCACTCTTTAGACATTCTGCTTGTTTATCTCTGATGATTAAGACATACATATTATTTATGTTACACAGGATCCCTGCATCGCTTTTCCCTCGCTTGCATTTACCCGAGTACGCCACGAGATGGCGCCATTGCACCGCGTCCCTCGCACCGCAGCTGCAGCGCCTCAAACGTGGACGTGTTGCGCACTGTGACACAGGAGGACACCTCTGGCGATAGTTCGATCGCCGGGCTGCTCCCTCCGCTTATCAAAAGTGTTATTGCGCGGCAGATGCGATGCGATTCATTTGTTTAACCTCACTGTGCGCTTTTTTACAGCTGGAATCAATGCGCACAATAAACATTGATTGAAGTTGAAACAATTAAAATGTGTGTGTGTGTGTGTGGGGGGGGGGGGGTTCTGATGACTTCTGTTGCGCTCAGACCACCGCAGCCCCTCCACTGTGGATCCCATCGGTCCCATCGATTGGTAATAAACTTGATTGAATGAGCGCGCACTCGCAATTAGCGGATGATTTGGTGGCGGGAGGACACGCGTGTTTCCCGCGGAGTCGCGCGCTGTCCATTTCAGCACCGGAGAGGAGAGGAGCGCGCGCGTCCGTGCGGACTTCGGAGGGTTTTTTGCGCAAAGACGCGCAGAGAGAGAGAGACAGAGAGAGAGAGAGAGAGTGGAGGAGGAAAGAAAAAGAAATCAGGTGGGTTCTCGCACAGTATTGATCAGGAGTGACGTGATGATGAATTCCTCTGCTCTCTCTCCCTCTCTCTCTCCCCCCCTCTCTCTCTCCC